AATGATTGGTTATGATTATATCTTTGTGGGGAGAACAGAGAGAGTGGACAGTGCCTCAGTTATAATGGTGAGTCTTCAACCTCTACCCTTGTTTTCATTCAGCTTAATTGATTGAAGTATGCAGCAGAGTAGGCTTGCCCTTTGGAAAGGACATTTTTCATTTGAAGCAATGAATAAAAGGAGGAGTTAGTGTTCCTTTCTGCAGTAGCCATTTTTCTTTGAAACTGATGAATTCACAACTATAGTCTAGTCCGCTTATAACAGGTACAAACAAACTTCGGCCCTCCAGGTGTTTTTGGACTTCAACTTCCCTAATTCCCTGCCAGCTTCCTGGGAGCTGAAGTCCAAAACACCTGGAGTGCTGAAGTTTGCCCATGCCTGGCCTATAGCTATTGCCTTTGCTGTGCAACTGTGCAGTCAATCATAAATGCATTATTGCAGTCATACCTCTTGGAAGGATGAGCCACCCACTTGAAATAGATTTGCTGCCAGGCTAATGTGTCTAGAATGAAAGACAAGGTCGCATTCTAGACCAAGTAGCTAGAACACTAAAGAATGGAAAGACCTACTATGGGGCCCTACATAGATATCTATTCTGGTTTCTTTAGACTTCTCTTGTTTTTTCTCTTTGTTTGCACTGTATAGTGCCATCAGTATCCCACTTTTCTATTATTTCTTTGTATGAATCCCATTATTAATGGGATTGCTCCCCCGGTGAAGCCTAAATGGCTCTCACTATACTTACACTGCTGCAGGGATAGGAGGAATACATTGGCTGGTGGAATGGCAGCTGTGGACTTCCAAGCACAGGTCCTCCCTCTGATCGTTGCTTGGTTGCAAGGTCTGCCTGAACACCTTCTACTTATAAGTGTGCATCTAGAGAAGGAAAAGCTATTCCCTCTGAACAAAGGCCAAAGCCGCTTCTCCCCCCCCCCTTCCCCCGCCCCAAAGAGTAACAAAAGCTGCTTCTCTCAAATGTCCCCTTAGCCCAGTGTTTCTCAACCTTTCTAATGCTGCAACCCCTTAATACAGTTCCTCATGTTGTGGTGACTCTCAACCATAAAATTATTTTTGTTGCTACTTCTTAACTGTAATTTTTCTACTGTTATGAATCGTAATATAAATATCTATTATGCAGGATGTATTTTAATTCACTGGAACAAATTTGGCACAAATATCTGATATGCCCAAATTTGAATACTGGTGGGGGAGGGGAGGGGGGATTTATTTTATCATTTTACCATTTGGGAGTTGTAGTTGCTGAGATTTATAGTTCACCTACAATCAAAGAGCATTCTGAACCCCGCCAACAACAGAATCAGGCCAAACTTCCCACACAGAAACACTGTGCCTTGGACTTGCTGGCGTGATCCTCCCTCCAACCTTGCACACTCTCCCTTGCCTGCTTGGTGCCATGCTGCCATGCGCCGAACATGCCTGCCCTCCTTTCCCTGCTTGGAGTCTCAGAAACAGCTCTCCCATTGGTTGAGAGGCCAGCCAATCATAGCAGAGGAGAGCTTTTGGTGGGAGGATTCGCCATCGGTTTCCAAAAAGGAAGAGAAGGACAGGCAGAAAGATCTTCAGCCTTCTCTACCAATGGGGTTCCTAAGACCATCAGAAATACATGTTTTCTGATGGTCTTTGGGGACCCCTCTGAAACCTCCTCACGACCCCCCCCCCAGGGGTCCTGACTCCCAGGTTAAGAAATGCTACCTTAGCCAATTGTTGGCAGGAGAGAAGAGCTGCACTGGGTAGCTTACAGCTGTCTTTGCAAACTTAGAGCAAAGGCCTTGCAGAGGGAGGTGCTGAAGGCCTCCCTGTATAATGTCTTTCAAATACATACATTGATTTTACTATTGACTACACCAGCATAAGTTGCAAACAGGATTCCTACAATTGTGTGGCTTTGAAGGACATGTCTAATTTAATTCCTGAAAGATGGTCATTAGAGTCAGTAATTGTGGAAATGGACAGTATAAAGGGTTAACTTCAAAACTATTGGGATTATAACTGACTGACAGACCAAAATAACGATAAGAATGGGCAAGAAGAAGCATTATGTTTCTTAAACAGACTCCAGTTTCTATCACAGTCATATACCATTGAAGCACTAACTACTCAAGATGATAGTATAAACAATGGAATGGTCATTGATAATGCAACTTTTTTTTGGCAAGAGTGAATATATGGTTGTATGAGATTATAAAGCATTAACATATCGTTTGTTGCTGTTAAAAAGGACAGAGAAGCAGAAAAGGGTTAGGAAACGATGGGCCCTTCCACACAGCCCTGTATCCCAGAAAATCAAGGCAGAAAATCCCACAGTATCTGCTTTGAACTGGGTTGTCTGAGTCCACACAGCCATATATTCCAGTTCAAAGAAGATAATGGGGATTTTCTGCCTTAATATTTTGGGATGTAGGGCTGTGTGAAAGGGCCCTTGGTGCTAAAGAACCAAGGACCTCAAGAGACTCAGAGGCTGGAAGACAGAACTTCACAGCTATCCAGAATGTTTGGATTCCATCTTCTATAATGAAATAGGCCATGCTGAGTGAGGCTTATGGCAGCTAAAATCCAACACATCTGGAAGCCAGAGTTTCCTCAGCCCTGGCTTAGTGGCTGGGGTGGATTAGGTAATGGACTGGAAAAAGGAATTTGATGGTAGGACGTAGGAAAGGCGAGCAGCCATAAAAAGGAAATATGACAGTGACAAGCACTCCCTCACAATGAAGAGCACTGATTCTAAAGACAGAAGGGGCTATGTAGTATCAGTATAAATGTGTATACAGGGAGGAATGGAGGCTCAGGAAAAGTAAAATGGGTGTAATAAATAGTGTGCTTATGAATCAGCTCTTTTAGATATTTTGCAGAGGGTTTCATCTGGCCATCTTGATGCAACATCTCTATTTTATAAAACCTGCTGATGGCTTTCCAGAATAAAGATCCATGAAATGGGACTACAACAAAGGCATGTTTGCATTTAGGGCAACCAGTCCTGAACTGCAGTTAAGCCTAGAGGAACAGTTTGCATGAGTTTGCTGTTATTTCCAGCTCAATTAATGGATTTGGCCAGTTTTTATTCATGTTGTCAGCTAGGAGAGCCAGAGTTTATGAAAGCTAAACCTCTCACTCAGATCAACAGATAGGTAGAATTCTGGTTTTAACATCTGATTTTTGACTCTTCAAAGAAGATATTTAGTGGAAAAAGTCTGCTTTTTTTAGAAAAAATATTTTGTGTTCTTTTTCTTTTTCTTGTACATAGCAATCAATAATTTTCTAAGACAGTAACATAATAGTCTAGTTTCCATTGCAGTCTCTACAACATGAATGGAATTCTTGCATCATTTGATGCAGCTGCGTAATGGTATAAGTTCACCGAAGGGAGGAAACAACAATTCTTCTTTATTCCTCTTTTATACAGTAAATAGAAGATGTAAATTGCATAGCACATCATAAGGAACTATTTCTACCTCAGGGCAATAAAACTGTGTAGCCAGGAGTCTCTAGGCTTCCTGTAGTGTAATTAGGTTCCCTGTGAGGGCACAGAAAACTACATGACAAACTTACATAGGTTTCTAATCTTTTTAACACTCAGATCTTCCAAGTGCTAAGATTACCAATAGTTGTCCATTAGAAATACACACTGTCCTTCAGAACTACATTTTCCATGTGAAAGAAAATGCCTAGTGAACTATTAGGTCTGACTATTTCATGTTCTGCGTCTGTGTTCTTGTGTTAAAAATGCAACAATGCTCAGGCTTAAAGAGTTAAAAATGTCTTAGACCCCCTTTACACACCATATAAAATCCAGATTATCTGCTTTGAACTGGTTTATATGGCAGTATAAAAGGGCCCCCAGAGAGAGAGCAGCAGTGATAGGGTTAAGTACTTTTCAGTGATTCAAAATATCCCCATCTCTTATCTACCTATCCTTCCACTGAAATATGCTGTAGACACTGTGAGAATGATAACTGTAAATGTTTCTAGAAATGCTGACAAAAGAAGAGGAATCTGTTGTGACACGTATTATGAGACTTAATCCAATTATTAATAAGCCAAGGAGGAAAAAGTGTTATTGATAGTGGTTGTATTATGTGACTCAGGCCTAGGGTAGACTAGTGTTTGACTGATTCATCCTAGATATATTCTTAATTAAAATGTATACAGAGATGAAACTTAACACAAAGAGTTGTTGAACTGCTGCAGGGAATGTCTTAATCATCTTTGTCAATGTGACAAGCATATTTATATTGCATAGATAATATGGGAAACCTAATGTTGTAATGGGATGGGGTCCCTCCTGCTTGAGCTATTGACCCCCAAAACTGAGGTTGTTGGTTTCTCAGACAATCATGTTGGAAACTCTGTGGAAGCTATAACCTCACATACCCCCCCCCCCACACACACACACAATTCTGCACTGCCTGCTACTTACTGACACCAGCTGTGTAATAAGATTATTTTAATTTCTTGATGAATATTATTATTTTGGTCATTATTTCAGTTATCTTACTATCTCAATCAGCATTATGGAAATTGAAAATCATCCACAATTAGGAATCTTGTACTTTTTATGTTCTTATTTCCTTGAGAATTTTGCTTGACCCTTTTCTGTGGATGCTTAAACTGCATTTCTCAATGCCCTGATGAAGTCAGAACTGAAATCCCAGAAATATGGGAACTGAAGGAAATCTCATTTTAATCTGTAACATGTTCTGTTATGGTCTAGCTGCTTTATTATGTTTCAATTGTTATTTTTTAAAATTATGTCTACTTTTATCCCAATGCACCTGTATGTTTTATACCTTGTTGTTAGCCACATTGAACCCCCAATTCAAAGTGGCACAAAGTGACTAATGGGGGATAAAAGCAGGATATAAGTAAATTATTATTATTATTTCTAGAGGACAGAATTCTGATTAGAGGACTAATTACATTTGCCCTCTATACCTAAACTCCTGACTATGACCTTTGACCAAACTATTTTTCTCTCTCCACAGAGATTCCTGGGTATCCTGGAATGGTTGAAAGCTGAATGGGCAAAACTGTCCTCTTCATCATTTGCAACTGGCCAGAAGCTTGTGGGAAGTCGAGATCAAGTTCAGCTATACTTCTGTCCCAATGGGGAAATGATATGTTCCTTTCCAGAAGGATTTTAAAAAGGCAGAAAGTATACTGGGACAGTGGGCTGTGTGATGCACATGGAGATCTGCAGTGAATGAATCATACCAGGGACACAACTTTGAGAGATCAAATTCATTCTGCAAATCTGCTGCTTGAGATTGACTTGGTGGAGTCTATGCAGTGCAGGAATGAAAGGTGTTCTTGGAGCTGAATGGTATGAGTTCCCAACATCAGGGGAAACATTAACACAATCGTTTTTACACATACTGTCTCCAGAAGATATAAGAAGCTGAAAAAGGATTGGGAAGGACACCAAGCATCAGGCTTCCTAGAGAAGCCTGCAGATTGTTCAGCTTGGGACTGGATCACAATGGAAACCAGGCAATTTAGAGGTAAAATGAAATTTGGGAAAAAGGCACTGAAGAGCAGTATTAAAACCAGCTTGAATTCACAATACATTGTCAAAATCATTTTTAATTACCTTTGGCCAACTCTTTCAGAACAAAGAATCTTCTCCTAGAAGTCATGTAGCACCATATAGTAGACAAAAAGAAATCATTATCCTACAATAGGATTTTTTTTAAAAAAAACCCTCAGTCTTTTCTTCTGAAAAACATATTTCCTCAGTATTTACCAGCTTAGTTTTTCAGATACAGTTTGTTCTGAGGTTGACGTCTCTGCAATTTCATTTAAGATGGCGAGATGTCAGAATCTGGAGGCAGCTTCTTATTCCCCCCCCCCTTTCTCCTCCTAACTACCCCTTCTTCATACCCATTTATTGATGCAAGTTTACATGCATGAGCCTAAAGCTATTATAGTATGACCAAACACTTTCTCTGGCTGAGAAACCTTGACTTGTTTACTCAACTCACATCAGGTGCTGAAAAATACTCCTCATTATTTTGCTAGGATAAAATCTGGCCATTCCAGATCTTTTTAAGAAGGAAAAAGAGTTTCAGTAGAACTTCTGGAAAGAACAGACAAGTGTGGAGGGGGGCTTATGGGAGGAATTTAGAGTGGAATAGCTCAGGTAATGGGATACTCTTTAGAAATGTGGTTTTACTATAGCAAACCTGCATGCCTGGTCCACTAAGAACTCTGAAGCATTTAAAACACTGCTTTCTGTTGTAATTTTTCAAAGCCTAGAAGCTAACACTGAGCTTTACGTTGCAGAAGAAAAGGCCCTTTGTTTTAATGGCTATAGGAAGGCGTTGTCCTGTAAAGCATAAAGGATGCCTGGAGCTTTTCCATGAATTATGAAGATACCATGTCCCATCACTTCTACGTGATGAAATCCAACATTGCCTAGAATCAAATGACTTTTCAGCCATCATCATTTGTGACTACAAAAAAAAAAGGAGAACCGTGAGCTCTCAGCTGCAGGAAAACTCATCCATCAACAGAGAGACTGCTGTTCTTTTTGTTCAGGACAAGAAATTATTGTATGGCTGCTTGCTGTCATGGACTATGCACATGTATGAACTTACGTTTCTTGGACATTTTTAAATTTCTGAATCCCTGTGTGTTACAGTGGATTTAGAGGGAGCAGATCAGGCATTCTGATATGGAATCAAGAGTTGCCCTAGAGTTGGAACTGTTATTTATGTATTTATTTATTGGATGATTTATTGGTTGAGGATAGTGACAACGATCCTGAAGATGTAAGAGGTGATTGCAGTTTCTTTGTCTGCCTTCCTTGCTAAAGCGGAGGCAACAACAAATCTCCGTAAGCCACTGATTCCACCAAAATAAAATTGAGACTTTATTACATGACTATGTCTAATATTCATAGAGAAACAAAGGCCTTTCTTACTGCAGAAGTCCAAAAACAGGAATAGATATAGGAAATTAGCCTCCTCCTGCTAAATGCCTTCCTTTTTTCTTCTTATTTTCTTCTTATTATTATTTTTGCTGCTTTTTCAATAATGCCATGCCTTGCATGGAAAGCAAACTACATTTAGAGAGAAGCAACCTATTACAATGCCATCATTGTGTACCATTGGTGGGCCAAGAGGATATAAACCAGGCTGATTTTGTTACCATTGTAATGTTTATCTATGATATATTCTCCAACTGAAGCTTTCCATTGCACCTTGCTGTCTTACATCACAAGCCAGTTGCGAAGGAGCTCTGTAAGCAAACATTTCCATTGGCTACGCTGGCACTCAGCCATAATCCATTAGGAAAGAACTAGGCAGGACAAAAATGATCCATAGGGAGAGAAGCCGAAAAGGTGATGTCAGTTTGCAACTAACAAACAGGTTTGACCCATATATTCCAACAGTTCTGTTTGGGCAGGGACAGTCCCAATTCATCCTCTGCTGTTCTACTTTTACAGCTGTTTTTAAAATACCCCTGTTTCTCTCTTCCCCTCCCTTTCCCCCCTTATTTCCATTACTGCAAACTTAATTCTAAGTGGAGAAGTATTGTGTATTCAGTTAACTTGGCAAGGAGGGGAAGAGAGGAGTGAGTGGAATGTTGTCCTTCCTAGTAGATTCAAGCAGAATTAAATTGTTTAAGCTTGTCTTCTAGTAGATTCAAGGCTGTGTGGATGTCGCACATTTAACTTGGATAAATTATATACAGAGGAGAGTTAATCCCATGACCTAGTATGGGTTTCCTAAGCCAAAATCTATGTCTGCACACACTTGAGGCAGCTTTTCAATTAAAGTGCATACAGCTCAGGAGACCCTGCTTAAAGAGTATCTTTTATTTGCTTTAATTTGGCTATTAGCACTTGTCTCATGGAGACAATATTATCAAATAAAACAATATGATTCTCTTTAGAGAAGTCTTCTCCAATCTGGTAGCTCCCACACGTGTTAGAATACAACTCCCATCATCTCAATCAATATGGCCATTGATTTAACTATGGGGTTTTAACTATAACTCAGAATAAAGGCTTCCATTCAAATTACTTTGGCATTAATGATAACACTGGCCAACACTCATTTTGGTGCCTCAAATGTTAGCCCTATTTCTGGGTATATTTGAGCTGCTGATTTTTTTTAAAAAATGGCACCAGTTTTCCACAATCAGCTCTAGTTTTGAGAGACAGAACAAATGCCATCTACCAGTTGTCATCCGTTCATCCATAGAAAATCTTGATAACCATATCTAAGAAACTAGAACTCATGTGGTCTACCCAATGCAATTTTCGGAATCAATGCCTCAAGTAATCAGGATGCCAAAAATTATGTTTGGTCTGTGTAAATTTAAAATTGTTGTTACAAGATGTACTGTACCATTCCTTCATCAATGCACACTCAAAAATAACTGAACGGTTTGTACCAAATTGAGCTTTCATATTAAAGGAAGGTAGGATAATTAATTTTAGAAGCTCTATAGAGACATTCTCATGTACAGTATAAGTGTTAATCTAGTAGAAAGGACACCAAGCATCAGACTTCCTAGAGAATACAAACACAAGGAAAGGACTGGACAAACACATTCTCTCTCTTTCCCCACTTTTAATCACCCTTTACATATATAGCAGCTTTGTTTATCTGTGGAGATAACGCAGGATTCTAACATCTCAAGATTCTACAAGGACAAAAGAACTTCTGTAAAAAGATGTCAGCTTTGTGAAGAACGTAAATAACAAAGCAGGAAGGAGTAGAGTTTGCACCCTTGTCTTCACTTTCTTTTTCCATATAAACATAGAATGCAAACACTCACACACATGCATAACACATTAATAATACTAGAGTGAGATATTATGATGATGACAAAGTAAAAACCAAAAATTCACTTTTGTGTGTTGGAGAAACAGAACAAGGGCAGTTCATCAAGATAAATTGGCTAGTATCGTCATAGTATAACGCTGGCACATCTCTCCCCCCCAACTCAGCTATACAGTAGCTGGTGAAGTCTGTGAATGAGGAGGGGAGATGATAGAAGTAGCTGTATATTGCTCTATAGACATACACAACAATAATGGGATCTGTTGTGAATTTGTCTGTAGAGACATAGCTAGACACTTCTCATCCCACAACCACTTCCAGCTGCAACATGGCCAGTAGACCAGCAACATGACCAGCAAGAGACATGGATTTTAAGGCAGGTGAGAAGAGGGACAGGAGTAGTTCTGCCTGGACAAAATTGTACATCTATCCTTTGATGCAGCCTTTGTTTGAGGTAAGACAAAGCAGTTAGCATGGACCACACTTCAAAGCAAAGCTACACTTTTAGAAATACCTTGTATGCTGTGCTGCAGTGAGCTGCCTGAATGATAACTCAGGAATGTTACCATGCAAGCTTAGAAACACCAGCAATTTTCTGCATATCATAATCCCATTTGAAAAGGACCCAGCAACAACTTGAAATATCCCTGCTGTGCTGTGACTATACATACTTATCATCATTTTACACATAACATACATCTTTCTTTGCTGCACCCAAACCAAATCAAGTGTTTTTCTCCCTGAAACACAAAAAATGCAATTATTCTGTTCAAAGGTTCTATTTGACTGTTTGTGCAAAGTTTACTTTAGCTGGAAATAGTGTTTACCTAAAGAGATATTATTCTTCAGGATTCTGAACTTTAAAAACTACCTTTGCTCTTTTGAATTTGGAGACCTCCCTCACTGAGTCCTTGCAATGTAATCATCACAACAAATCAGGTCAAACATTCTGTGCTAGTGTAGAAGTCCTCTCTCTGGAAAGTCCTCCTCACCATGGTTCTGCCAAATTTTATTGCTGGAGCTCCCTCCTTTCAGGATACTTCTGCCTCTTTTCAACCATGGAGGGTTATGTATGACTGCCAGAAGTAGTTTAACTCATGTGATGAGCTCAATGCCTCTCCATGTTTGAATAGAGGCTGAAATTTCCTACAACTGGGAAATCTGTCGATGTGATAGGGTGGTAAGATAGGTGCCTACTGAGAAGCTTTTAGGTCATAGAACACGATGTAGCTGTCATTAGGAACACTAATGAAGAAACAAAGAATCCACTCAACATCCCAATGGTGTGAAGTACATGCTTTGGAAGTCACAATCACATGGGTTTTCTGATATTTGTATAAAATTTTCTGTGTACACAATGAACAAGGCTCTACATCAAGCAGATAGGCTGGACACCTCATTATTGACTTCATTATTGACAGAGTTGCTGGACACCTCATTATTGACTTCTGCTGCAATGATAGTATCTCTTATGTGAGAGATTTTATTTGGAAAATGGTTATTAAAAACCTCACAGTGAGCTGCTGAAGGTTCTAGCAATGGATTCAGAGGCGAGGGTACCTGGGTTAAACCTCTTACCACTCTGAACAGCTCAACTGGATGTGGATCCATAAATGCAATGTGTGTAAAGAGTTTTCTTTGCTGCATGTATTGCCACCTTACAGAAATGAAGATGGCCTCTATATCATGTCTAGTTGCATAGAAGTTGGGGTTTCCACCATCTTCATGTTGCACACAAGACTGGGGATGCACCTTTATTTATTTATTTATTTATTTATTTATTTATTTGCAGTATTTATATTCTGCCCTTCTCACCCCGCAGGGGACTCAGGGCAGATTAAAATGTACACATATATGGCAAACATCCAATGCCAATTTGACATACAACGTATACAGACATACACAGAGGCTATTTAACTTTTTCTGGCCGCCAGGGGAGCTGTCGCTTTCATCGTCCGTCTGCGACACTGATGAAGTACTTCCACATTCCCCGCATGCTTTTGCTGGAGTGCTTTGCTGGAGTCTTTTTTATGGCCTCATAAATTAGTTAATTTAACCTCCCCACACAAGGTGGTACCTAATTTTAATACTTGACAGATGCAACTGTCTTTCGGGTTGCAAAGGTCGACAACAGGCTACACAATTGGTTGGAAGCCCACTCCAACCCAGGTTGGCTTCGAAGTCATGACCTTTTGGTCAGAGTGATCTTAATGCAGCTGACACTCAGCTAGCTGCGCCACAATCCCGGTGCCCAGAACCTTTGAACCCAGAACCACACCAAAGTTCTTATAAGCAAACAGTTTATTGAAGAATAAAAATAGCTTCAGCAAAAAAAATAAAAATAAAGGAAGTTTGAAAGTATAATAGAATATTGTCCATGAATACAGTCAATTAAGCAAAATAAGAAATAAAGCAAGCATCAAACTCAGAAAGCAGTAATGTCCCAGAATCCAAGACAAAACCCACAGAACTAAAGTCTGTGAGTCTAGAATAGTCCAAGAATTCAAAGTCCCATAATGATTCAGGAACAAACTTGAGCAATTAAATCCAAAGGCATGAACATAGATCCAAGGAAGGAAACAAACAGGAATCTCAGCATGAACATAAAGCCATGAATACAAGACAAGGATGCTCTTCAATTCTAAACATTGGTCTCATTATAAGTTACAGTTTTAAAAGCCCTATAACTATTCAAAAAGCCATGGCAAAAGCATTCCGTTTCCCTTAGGAAACCTCTCTCTGAACCCTTTTTTATCTTAATCTTTTAAATTGCCTTCTACCCCCTTCCAGGTGGTGGTTGATTGATTTGACCTCCTATCAAAGATTATCTGGTCCTCCCTTGGTTTGCCAATTACTGCATTCTTTTCACATTCCGACCTTGACTATCCAGAGTCTCAACTTCTTTTTCTGGCTGTACAAACACATCTACAGCAGGCTGGTTAGCTATCCCAGAATCCTTAGCTTCCTTCTGGCTAACAGCATTCTCCTGATCAAAATCCCCATTTCCAAACCCCCGCGAGTCTGCAGGAAGTTGGTCATTTAACTCAGGTATTGAAACCTCTGCAGACTCAGGCATAGAAAC